TTTATTCTACCAGACATTATGAACTCCTGAGATGGGGAAAAACACAGTCTGGATAACTGTGACAGTGGAGTTTTCAATATGATCCCCATCACAGAGTCAAACACCCTAAAACTGGATTACACCAAAACTCAGAACGTCCTTCAGCTCAGTTTGGCACACGTGGAATTGTTATGGATGACAGTCAGCATTCTAAGCTCTGTCATTGCTCAGAGCCCCCATGAAAGCTGAGTCTGTGCAAGCACCACATGATTTTTGTGTTGCATCTACAGGGGAGCTTGGAGAGAAGGCAGCTACTGCACATCCTATCAGCTCTTATTTCAATAGGGACACTTTCAAAGCGCTCAGCTCTGACACGCAGCTCCAGTTCCTACCTTCCACACTGCAAGAATCCACCTTGCTGCCTGCTTACCTGATGCCAGAGAGCCACCACCAGGGACTAATGGACTGAAAAGGGCAGCTTGATGCACACCAGGCTTTGCTTGGACGGTGTCACCACCCACAGCTCAGAGCTGCTTTCTGTCTGCTCAGAAGGGGCTGCCCCCACAGCACAGCACAAGGGCCAGCACGAGGCCATGTAACTGGAACAGGGACCATGTTTATATAACACTTGGAAACAGCTTCTACAGGGAAGGCCAGCCACAAGCTACAGGAACTGACCTCCTCTGCATCTCTCAGCATCCAAGCGGACAGAACTTGTTTTCCAAAAACTGGACTGGGTTTACAAACCCTGACTCAAAGCATCGCCCCAGCACAAGGCTCAGGCTCTCCCAGAGCTCAGCCCCCAGCACAGCTCAGACCTGGCAGCAGCAGCAATTGCCTGAGATCCCCTCTGCTGTGTGTCGGCAGCCCGGGGCCAAGAGGTATGCATGGCTGTTCCAGCATTTCCCCCAGTGGTTCATGCACTTTGAGAACAGACTGAACCAGCATTTGGCAAGGGAGCTCCTGAATTACCACGCTGCTTTTGTTCTCTCCCCCACCAAGCCGGGTAAACGATGGCCAGGTCACAGCTCCCAGAAAGCTGCTCCATGCAAGAGCACAACAGCACAACGGAGCCTCATCCTCTTCTTGCTGGGTATTCATTGCAGCAGAGCTCGAGGTGGCCATGCTGTGCAATTCCAGCAACCGCCTCTCAGCTCAGGCACTCCCAAATTGATGCTGAATATATAAAAATTGAAATTTGCTTTGCCACCTCCCAGGCCTAAGGTAGCAAAGTAAAAGAGGGAGGGATGCTGCAGCAGCCTGCAGAGCAGCTCATCGCCCACATCTCCTCCTGAAGGCTGCAGCTTTTGCTGCTCCCCGCATCACTTCTGTTTATGTGGTGGTTTTCACCACCTCAGATGCTTCTGAAATGGATTCTCTGAAATCAGACTCGAGGGATGCCCAAAAATCATTCATTTTCTGCAGAATTTAAAACCTTTTCTGTGGTTGCAGCACACCAGCAGCAGCGAGCTGCTACCTCTCCTCAGCTGCCAGCCAGCAAGTTACACCACACCAAAACTAGACACAGAGCAGCCCTTTCCCCATCACCTTTAGCTCTTCAGCTTCTGAAGGAGAGGCTGCTAGCACAGGCTGCACAAAGACGCAGTGCTGCCCCATTCCTGTGCAGACACCCCAGGTCAGGCTGGATGGGGCTCTGAGCACTGACAAGATGTGGCTCGTTGCAGGGCGGTGGGACTAGATGACCTTTAAGGATCCCTCCTGACTCAAACGATTCCATGATTCCTACAGAGGCAAGGCTGTCAAATGCTAGCAACAGTTTAATATTCTGCAGAGCAGCTACCAGACCTCTAAGAGGTTATGGCAGCTTCTAGGAGCTGGAGACAGCACAGCACCCTTCTGACAGCAGGAATCTAGGTGAGTCATAAGCTCGGTTAGCCAAGGCAGATTCTGCACAGCAGATCTGAGCTTGCACGAGGGAGGCAGAGGAAAACAGCTCCAAGTCCTTCGCTGACACCTTGTGTCAGAATCAGGAATCGGCTGCAGCAAGCTCCAAGTGCACCCAGCAGAGGCACCCAGTGCACAGGGACCTGTCTGAGGAACCACTAAAGCATCAGGACTTCGGTGCTGAAAAAAAGGATTAAACATTCTTGATTTACACAGAAAGCTTAAGCCAAAACAGCTTAAACCAAAACAGTTACGCCCTCCCTCCGATTCTGGTCGTGTCTCCCAGCCCTTTATAAAGCCAGCTCAAGAGCCAGCCTGATAGCACTGAGCTATACGGCTCCTCAGGCAGCAGCAAGCTGTCTCAGCAGGAAGCAAGAGTTTTAATCAGCTTACTCTGCTATCAGACAGGGAGAGCTACAAAGGATCACGCAGAAAAGCATGATCTCCCCTGTCCAACATCCAACAGCAGCAAGCTGTCAGCTTGAGTCCTAACACAGAGGAGTTGATCCTTCCCTAGGCAGCACCAGGAGAGCCTCAGCTCTTCAGGATTTCCCCACTGCAAAGGTGACCATTTGCTCCAGGACTGGGAAGACAGTCTGCAGTGCTGGTGTCACACCAAGAAGAGGCAGTGAAGGCAGAACAGGAAAACAGATGAGAGCACAGGAGTATTTTTGTGCCTAAATACTCATTTTGGCTACCAGTAACCTGTCACTACATAGATTCAGTGCAAACAGAGAGAATTCAGGTTGCCTAAAGAGGTTGTGGATGCCCCATCCCTGCAGGCATTCAAGGCCAGGCTGGATGTGGCTCTGGGCAGCCTGGTCTGCTGGTTGGTGACCCTGCACACAGCAGGGGGTTGGGACTGAATGAGCAGTCCTTTTCAACCCAGGCTGTTCTATGATTCTATGAATTCACATTAAAGCCTTCAGAGCACAGAAAACAGACAGCAAAATCAGAACCATGAGGTCAGAGGAGAGAAACTGTCTGCCCACAGACCTACATGAGTGACCACGAGCAACATTCCTTTGAAGGAAAAGCCTTCAAATCAGGCAGGAATACAGAAAGCAAAGCAGAGGAGAACTCAGAACAGCCCTTATGGTTGGAGAACAGCAGCAACCACCACTGAGCTGTCTGGAGAAGACAGTAACAAAACCAGAGCAATGATATGGGAAGTTCTAACTGATTCATTTCAAATGCAGAAAGTGCCACACCAAGGGAGAGGTCTACAGGTTTACACAACTTGGTTCAGGATGCAAAAAGGGGGAAAGGAAAAAAAAAAAAAAGGAAGCTGTAAATACAGAAAGACCCCAAAGAGGAAGAAGCCTGCAGCGATAAAGTCTAGGGCTTGCTGACACTGCTGACCAGCAGGAACATTTCCCAGGAACCTCTTTCAGGCCTTGGGCAACCTGATCTAGTGGGGCAGCCAGCCCACAGTGGGGGCAGCCATTCCATTGTTCTAATCACACTCCTATTGACAAAAAAAAAAAAAACAAAAAAACAAAAAACAACAGACACCTTGGCACACATTCCACCCTATCTCCACAAGCTGGTTTTGGCCCTCACGATTTAGAAGCAGGTTGCTGAACCAGGCTCCTGACACATATGAGTGACAAACAAATGGGGCAGTGGCACAGGGGAGCTGCACAGCACAGACTGGTCGGGATGAGCTGACCAAGGGCGACAAGCAACACAAACCCACCCCAGCTTTGTACACACCGATCAAGAAAGAAGACAGTGGCTGAAGCAGGATCAGCCCAAAGCTCACGGGGAAGGGCAGTTTCCCTCCGAGTTTACCAAGCTCTGCAGCGCTGGTTTGGTTTGAACATAAGAAACGCCTCCAAAGCTGCCGGTACCCCCTGCGTGCTGCCCGCTCCTGTCAGAAGTGCACACCTCAGGCAGGGATCAGGCCACGCCAAGCACCTCATTTCTGGCCCCAACGTAGCGAGCAGGTTTCCTGGCATGGAAACACACAGCAATGCCCGACACAACCCCAAAGTCCCCCTCAGAGCAGGGCTCTCCCCTCAGCCCTCGGCCGTGAAGGGGCGGAGGCTCCGCCCGGCCCGGCGCTCTCCCGCTCACCCTCGAGGCTCTCGCATTGCACCAGGTTGACGTAGTCGCCCTGCCGCAGCACGCCGGCCTTAAAGCCGCGCACCAAACCCTCCAGGTAGCCGTTGTCCACGTTGAAGTAGAGCTCCGGGAAGCACGACATGATGGCGGCGACTGCGGGACCGGCGGCGCCTCACGTGACCTGGCGCTCACGTGACGCAGCTGTCAATGCCCCACTTCCGGTTCCGGCTTGCTCTGCGCAGGCGGGAAGGGCTGAGGCGCTGTGAGGGGCGCGCCGCCATCACCCCTTAGTGCTGGGTTGCTGCTGAGAGCAGCTCTCCCTGAGCACTGAGCTGTGACTTGAAGGCTTTTCACGCTGTCGTGGCCCCCTCCTCAGCTGTGTTCGCTGCCATCTCGGAGTGTTTGAGCTGTTTGGGTGGGGGAACGCCCTGTGGTGATGGGGGAGGGCGTGCAGAGGAGGCCCAGAGGGTGGGAGTGCCTCTCCTGTGAAGAAAGGCTGAAGAGGAGCTGGGCTTGTTCAGGCTGGGAAAGAGAAGGCTGTGGGGACACCTCACTGTGGCCTTCCTGTACTTGAGGGAAACTTACAAGCATGGGGGGTGGCTTTTCATGCAGTTTGATAGTGATAGGACAAGGGAAATGGCTTTTAACAGAAAGGAACTACAGAGGGTGGTGAGGGGTTTCCCTCAGAGGGTGGTGAGGGGCTGGTATTGCTGCTGTGGGTGCCATCCCTGGAGGTGCCCCAGGACACGGATGGGCATTGGGCAGCCCAAGCTGAGGGGTAGGAAGCCCGTGGCAGGGGTTGGGTGGGCTTTGTGGTCCTTTCCAACCCAACTGTGCTGTGATTCTATGACACGGTACTGAACACAGCTGTAGGTGGCCCTGCTGGTGGCACTCAGTGACCCCCACAGTTCCAACCACACCACATTGTGCTCCCTGGGCAGGAAGGACATCCCGCATCCCCTTGTTCCCAACAGCACGAGCCCAGTGCCCAGCACAGTCCACACTCAGCAATAGCAGTGCTATCTATCTGCTGCTTTATTGGAGCTGCAGAGGGGGAGGCTGGTGGGGACGAGTGGGCAGCCCTGTGGCACAGGCATTAGTTCTTGCCGCACGGGAAGGTGGTGCTGATCTTCCTGCAGTAGCAGAAGGCGTTGAAAAACCGGCAGTAGCAGGTGGCACAGGGGTCACAGCAGGGGATCTGGTGGCCCAGGCAGGACTCCAGGAGACGGACGCAACGGCGAGGGGAGCTCCGCTCCTCCCTGCCTGCAGCTTGCAGGGCCGTAGACAATGCCTGCAGGGGAGAGGAGGAGAGAGAATGCTCATGGTCCACCCTGCTGCCAAGGAATGGCATTAGAGAGCCCAGAGCCTGAGGCACCTCCATCTCAAACAGGAGGCTGAGATATCCGAATTCAGCTTGCTCCTAGAAGATACTTGGGGCTTGGTGCTGGACCTTGGTGATGCCAGTTCCTCTTCATGCTTTGCTTGCAGACCCCTGAGCGCAGGGGACCTAAGGCATCATCTGTGAAGACCTGCTTGGGATTCCCCTCTTCCCATCCAGCTGAAGCCTTCCTTCCCCTTGAGGTTACCTCCCTTCAAGGATCCTTGAATTGTTTGTCCATAGGAAAACAACCCTGGTCTCTCCGATCTCTCATCGTGGGATATTCCCCATGCCCTGCATCACTTCAGTGGCTCAGTCATCAACCCCTCAGGTCTCCATCTGCCCCTGAGATGGAAGTCTGGTCCTCTGCAGGGACAGCAGGGGCAGATTGCTTACACACCACAAGAGGAAGGGAGGTTGGCATTTCCTCCCAAAGGACCTGGCAGTCGTTGATTCACTGTTCCTATTCCCCTTGGCTGGAAGCGTTCTCACAGTCCCCTCTGATTTTTGGCTGAACAATTGGTCTGGCTGGAGCAATTTCGAAAGAGGATGTTTCACACCAACTTGTCATTACGGTAATGTGCGGTGGGAAGGTTGGGTTCCCACAGTTTCTTAGGAAATGAAGCAGGGAAACCTCGTCTGCCTCCAGCCAGCTCCCCTCCCAGCTCCTGCAGCAGCATCCCTGAAGGCCAACCCCAAACAGAGGGGCTTTCCTGGCCCCTCCGTTTCCAGCTTCCCTGACTCCCAGCATGTCCACACTCCTCAGCAGGCAGCAAAGGGATGCAGCATCTCGTGAAGTGTTTGCTCCCAACCACCCCGGGGCACAGAGAAGCCCGACGTGGCTCAAAGCAACCCTGTTTGGGGTGTTTTTAGGAAAACAAAGACTCTCGGTGTGTTACCTGTGGTTCCAGCACGCTGCTTTTCTGCAGGAGGTTACCATCACCTTCATGCACCTCCATCTGATCCGAGTCCGGCCTGGGAATAGCTCCTGTGAAACAGAGAGAGGCTGGGCAAGGAGGGCACTGCGGGCTGAGCAGGAGCTCCCTGCTTCAGTTCTGGGGAGCTGGCTGTCCCAGGGAGGGCTGAGGACCGCAGGACTCACCAGCAAGCTCCACTGGCAGCTCCTTGGCCTTGTGCAGCAGGCTGGGGTAGCGGGCTCTGTCTGCCTCCTCCAGCCCGGAGCTCATCTTCTGCAGGGGGCTGTGGCTGAGCTCCGAGCTGAGGATGGCCTGGATCCCCTGCAGCAGCCCGTAGCACAGCAGCAGCGCGTTCAGCATGGTCCTGGGGCAACGTGCACAGAGAGCAAGCGGCCAGCGTCAGCCCGGCCCCTCTGCCAGCAGGGCTGCCAGCTCGGCTGCCTTCCTGCACCCCGGCTCTGGGCTGTCTCCTCCGTGATGCTCCCCAGAGGTGTTTGGCAGCCAGTCTTACAGACAGGTACGCAACACCGTGGGCAGGAGCGCGGTGAGCGGATGGGAGCAGCTTCCTGTGGCTGCAGCCAGGGGCCTCCTGCACTGCCCTGGGCATTGCAGCTGGAGGCGCAGTGACAGGAGTGTCCCCAGAAAGGCCACGGGACATCCCTGTGTTTTGTGAAAGCTCCTGCAAGGGAGAGGCTGAGGCTGCCACGGGGTTTGGGCACAACAGACAACAGTGGGGCTTTGGGAAAATCACTACAGGGCGATGTGGAGCTGACAGAGAGCGGGCCTGGATAGAGGACCTCCAGGTCTGCGTGTGACAGCAAAGGTCCTCACAGTGGCTGTGGCAGCTCTGGGCCACACATTTCCCCTAAAGAACCCTAAAAAGACAAAAAAGCTTTCATGCAAAGCCTCCAGTCGTGCTGCCAGGAGCATCCCCAGGCGGGACCAGCCCCTCTCCCCTCCCGTCCCTCACTCACAGGGGAACCCAGATCTCCTTCACCCCACAGTGCCACCCCACTCCATGCCGTGGGCACCCAGCAGGGTGCCCCGAATGCTCCCCACACCCACCCCTGCTCCGCAGCCCCTTCCCTGCAGACCCACTGACCTCCAGGCGGTGTGGGGCTGCAGGCACCGCTCTGCAGGGTTCGCTCGGAGTCGCTCTGCCTCGATGTCCTCCCTCCCCACATCTCGCCGGGAACTTATATCGGCTCCTCGTTAATTAAGTGCCTCAACCACATGACGCCGCTAAGCAGCAGGTAGGTGGGCTCTGCTGCAGACGGGGCTTTGTCTGGATGGCAGAGCACCGGCAGGACGTGGGTGGGATGGAGTGCTGCTGTGCGGGGCTGCGGCCGGGAGCTGGTGCCCACTTGTCCCAAAATCCAAGCAAGCCTACGCAGCGATGCTGCTCCTGTGTTGGTACCCAGTGACAGAGGACCAGTGACGGACACGCAGCTTCCTCATGTATCCTCACACACCGGCAATGCTTCTGGCCCAACATCGGCCCCTGTCGCCCTTCCTTCAACAGCACTCTGGCTTTGGGAAGCCTGCTCTAAATGCCCCGTGTCCCTACAGCCAGCAAAAGCCACGGAAAGGAGCAGCTCTGATGCCAGAGGAGCCTCTGAGTACACGCAGCCCCACTCCCTCATCCTTCTGCACGCTTTGGAGAAAGCTCTGTAGCTCCTGACACGAGCCCAGCCACGGTGCAGAGCCCATTACAGCCTCTGCTCCCACCACTGCCCAGCCGCAGATCCTCCAGGCCCTGACTGCGTCTCCTTCACTCATGCTTTCCAGGACCTGTGGCCTCGGATTGCTCAGCATCCCAGCCTCAGCTGCACCCCAGGAGGAAGGACGAGTGCTGTGTCCCACAGCTGCGTGCGGATGTGCTTCCTTTGGCTTCTCACCACACCCAAACCCAAAGGAAGCTGCAGTGAGTCTGGTACAGCCCCAGCCCCACAGCCACAGGGCCAGGCAGGGATGGAGGAGTCACCTCTGCATCCACCCTGCTCACGTCAGTCCTCCTGCAGCCCCATACCCAGCTGGGATCCCTGCATCCTGCACCCAGCTGGGATGCCCACACCTCACACCCATTTGGGTTTCCCCCCCCCCCACCCAGCTGGGTCCCCATGCACAACACCCCCTCAAGCCCCCCTGCACAGCACCCTGCTGCCATAGCGGGACGCAGACCCCGTTCCTGTCCCCTCACCCCGCAGCAGTGACGCCAGCCTGGAGCGGGGCTCATTATGGGCTGCGGGCTTCTGGGAAGGCATTAACATTGCCGAGGCGGCCGAGCGCTGAGAGCTTTTTAATCTGCGGGTGCTCGGCCGGGCAGTAACGAGCTAAATGAGCAGCCCGCATCGCTTCCAGGAAATGAGCGGCCGCAGCGAGGCCATCCCGCACGTGTCCGTATGGGAGAGGGGGAGAGGAGCGGGCTGGAAGCCGAGCCGGGTGCGATGAGCTGCGCCCGGCCTCAGCCAGAATGCGGGGCGGGGGTGCGGGAGGGACGGGGGCCCTTTAAGGCTGCGGGCCGGAGCACGCTGACGTCAGCGGGGCGGGCGCTCCGGGACGCCGCAGCCCCGCGGCCCCGAGCTCCGCCGTGCGGTGAGTGCGGGACCCCCGGGGGTACGGAGGGGGGCTGAGGGATGGGGGGACGGGGGGGGGCGAGGGCGGATTGCGAGGGGTTGGACGTGGGGTTTGGGAGCGGTGTTTGGGGGCGGGGGGGGGGAGGTTGGAAAGGTGCGGTGGTTGTGTTGGGGTGCTGGGAGTTGGGGTGCGCTGGGGATGCGGAGCTGCGGGGGTTTGGGGCGCTGGGGTGCTACGGGTCGGGATGGCAGTGGTTGTTTTGGGGTGCTGGGAACTGGAGGGTGGCGTTTTGGGGTGCTGGATGGGGATTGGAGATTGGGGTGCTGGAGGTGGGGATATCGGGGTGCCGAGGGCTGGTGGTATTGGGGTGCAGCACGGGGTACCGGGGGTCAGAAGGTTGGGGTGTCGGGGGGCTCAGTAACACCCTCATGGTTGGGGGGTGCTGGAAGTGGGGCTGTCGGGATGCTCGGGGTGCTGAAGACTACAGGGGTACTGAGGTGTCTGGGGACATGGCTGGTGAGGCACTGGAACAGGTTGCCCAAGGAGGCTGTGGATGCCCCATCCCTGCAGGCAGTCGAGGCCAGGCTGGATGTGGCTCTGGACTGCTGGTTGGTGACCTGCACACAGCAGGGGTTGAAAGCAGATGATCATCGCGGCCCTTTTCAAACCAAGCCATTCTATGATTCTATGATTCGGGGTGCTGAGGTGGCAGGGATGCTGAGAACCAGGCAGGATGTTGGGGTGCCTGGGGATGGGGGAGGTGGGTGCATTAGGGCGCCCACGGTGCCGGGGCTGAGGTCCTGGAGGTGCAGCGCTGTGCCGCCGGGGCGCTGAGGGATGGAGGGATGCGCGGGGTCCCTGCGGTGGGTGCTGGGGTGCTCAGGAATCGCGACGCCCTTTGTCAGCACCCTCCGCCCCGCAGCGCCCGATGCCCGTCCCCACCCGGCGCCATGGCCGAGAGCAAGATCGCGGGGCTGTACAACCTGGAGCGCACGCTGGGTAAGGGCCACTTCGCCGTGGTGAAGCTGGCCAGGCACGTCTTCACGGGGCAGCGCGTGGCCGTCAAGGTGATCGACAAGAGCAAGCTGGCGGGCGAGGCGGCGGGGCAGCTGCTGCAGGAGGTGCGCTGCATGAAGCTGGTGCAGCACCCCAACGTGGTGCGCCTCTACGAGGTCATCGACACCCACGCCAAGCTCTACCTCATCCTGGAGCTGGGCGACGGCGGCGATATGTTCGACCACATCATGAGGCACGAGGGCGGCCTGGCCGAGCCCCGCGCCAAGCATTACTTCGCCCAGATCGTCCACGCCATCTCCTACTGCCACAAGCTGCATGTGGTGCACCGAGACCTCAAGCCCGAGAACGTGGTCTTCTTCCAGGAGCAGGGGGTGGTCAAGCTGACGGACTTTGGCTTCAGCAACCGCTTCCAGCCCGGCAAGATGCTCACCACCAGCTGTGGCTCGCTGGCGTATTCAGCACCGGAGATCCTGCTTGGGGATGAGTACGACGCTCCAGCTGTGGGTAAGGGTCTGGAGGTCTCCCGTGCCTCCTGTGCTCTCGTTTATCCCCATCTTGGCATGCATGTGGGCTTGCATTTCAGTTCCTTGTGGTGCTTCGGGCATTCGCAGAGCCCTGTGGGACAAATCCTGCCCCTGGGATGCTCGGCTGAGCACATCGTGGTCCTGGCAGCAATTGGATGTGGGAAGGAAACCTGCTTAGGATGCAGCCGCCTCCAGCTCCCAAAGTTTCCTCCGGGCGCTTCCTGCCGGTGCTTTGGGCCATGGGAGGAGAAGGAGGGCTGGGAGTCTGGCCAGCCCTGCAGGGAGCTGGGGCAGGAGGGCTGGGCAAAACAGTGCTGGAGCTCTGCAAGGAAACAGCCCGGTTTCAGCGTGGGGTGAGGGGAAGGATTCAAAGCTGAGAGCTGTCAGGGCTCGGAGGGGTGGTGGGAACACGAATACGTGGCTCTGCAAAAGCAAATCAAGCAAGGAAACTGGCACGGATGAGAAATTTTAAAATGCAGAGGCACTTAAGAAGCTGAAGGTATTAAGGGAGAGCCTGCGCTCAGCATCCTAAAAATAAGCGGTTTTGCAATAGGAAGAAAATCAGTCTCTGGGCTGCCAGGCGGGGCGGGAGCTGCGCACGGGGCATCTCTGCAGCGGGGCTGCGTGTGGTCACAAGGAGGCACGTGAAGATGAGTGCTGCTGCAGCTGGCACAGGGCTGGCGCCCACCCCGGGGCAGGCCGGCCCATCCGGGGTGTGCGTGAGCAGCTGGGAAGGGCTGACCCAGCACCCGGGCTGTGGGGAGCTTTGGTGACACTGCTGCCCTGCTCCGGGGACGTCCTCCAGAGGGGCTGGCACTGAGGTGAAGGCTGCAGGTGCGTGCTGGAGCCCCATCCCTGTGGCACTTGGGCTCCAGCCCCACGGACAGATCTGGGAGGCCTGCATGCAGCCGTCCCTATGCTCGTTGGGTGCCACAGTGCTGAAGTGCCACGAGGGGCTGTGTCCCGCGGGGGTCCCCGATCCCTGCCGGCTGGGATCCTTCAAATTGGGGTGGCAGCTGTCATGTTTGAGCTTCCTCAGGAGCTTACTGACTCTCGTCTTCCTCTTCCTCTCGCAGACATCTGGAGCCTGGGGGTCATCCTCTACATGCTGGTATGCGGACAGCCGCCCTTCCAGGAGGCCAACGACAGCGAGACGCTCACCATGATCATGGACTGCCGTTACACCGTGCCCCCGCACGTCTCCGCGCAGTGCTCCGAGTAGGCGCCTCTCCCCGCTGTCCCCGCCCCCATGGGAGCCCCGCGGCGGCCGGAGGGATGGGGCCGGGGCCGGGGGAAGGCGCTGGCCGCGCTCATGCAGGTGTCCCTCCCTTCCCCGGGCAGCCTCATCTCCAGGATGCTGCAGCGGGACCCCCGGCAGAGAGCCTCCCTGGAGCAGATCGAGGGCCACGCGTGGCTGCAGGGGGTGGATCCGTCCCCCGCCAGCCGCTGCCTGCTGCCCCTCACCTCGCACAAACGCGTGTCCCAGGAGGAGCACGAGATCATCATCCAAGCCATGACGTGCGGGCACATCGCTGACCGCGACGCCATCCAGGAGTGAGCGGCAGCCGGAGGGGGGCGGAGGGAGGGAGGGAGGAAAGGAGGGAGGTCTGGTGGTGCCGGCGTGAGCGCGGCCGTCGGGTTCTGATGCTCGTCCTTCCCGGTGTCACGCAGGGCGCTGGAGGCCGACCGCTACAACCACATCACGGCCACCTACTTTCTGCTGGCCGAGAGGATGCTGCGGGAGAAGCAGGAGGAGCAGAGCCGTCGTCAGAGCCTCCTCTACGACCTGGCCAAGCAGGTGCAAAGCAGGTGAGCCCCAGCCACCCCTCCACCTCCCCAAGCACCACGCAGCCGGGTGCCGACCCCCCTCTGCCCTTCCCCACGCTCAGGACCGACCTCTCGGACACGTTCGGCCCCGGGGGTGGCACTGGGGGCTGTCAGCCCGTAGCAGAGGTTCCTGGCAGCTCCCAGCCCAGCGGCGGGGACGGCAGCCGCGGCCGTCAGGCCCCCCGGTTGCTGCTGAAGGCTCCCACCATCGATACGGCCATCACCAAAAGCACCCCGGCCCTGCAGCAAATCTGCGAGGAGGAAGAAGAGGAGGAGGAAGAGGAGTGCAGACCCAGCGTGATGGAAAGGAAGAGCAGCTCCTTGAACCAGGAGCAGATGCGAGATTTCCTCCGTGCTGGGGCCCGTAGGCCGCCGTGCCGCGGGGAGGTGCTGGGCTGGGGGGCCGAGCCGGGGGGCCGGGCGGGGTACCGGGCCGCCAGCGGAGCCCGAGGGCCCCCGGAGCCGCGGGGGAACAGGAGGGGAGGCGCGGGGACCCCCGAGGGCAGGGAGGGCTCGGGGCGTCCCGGGGAAAGGGGAGGCGTCCCCGCAGCCTCCCCAGAGCCGAAGGAGAAATGCCCCGGGGTCCCCAGGGGGGCGGGGGGCAGCGAGGGGGAGGCGGAGAACGTGATAAAGCTGGACCCGGGTAAAGGCAAGAGCGGCAGCCTGAGGGAGCGGCTGATGCAGTTCCCGCTGTGCGAGAAAGCTCTGGCCTTCAAGATCCACCCCGGCCCCAAGGAGAGCCTGCTGTCCCTGGGGCAGTTCAACTGCTGCCACGTCATTTAGCCCCGCGGCCGGACGAGGGACGGCGGGCGTTTTTTAACTCCTAGAGATGATTTTTTTAAATAGTCTATTTTAATGTAACGACATGGAGACGCTGCATCCCCCGCTGAGCTCCCGTGGGCCACGGCCACGCGTCCCCAGCCTGCGCTGTTACCCCCCGCCCCCCACGACGCGCTTCCTATTTATTACCTCTTTGTTTTCTTGCTGGCAAGAAATGAACGCACGAGGCGGGGGCCGCCGCTCGGCCCGGGCTGCGCTGCACTGAGTGGATGGGAGCCGCCGGGAAGCAAAGTTCGTCGGTGCAATAAAACCGCGCTTCGGTTTGACGACTCGGCTGCGTGTGCCGGGGCTGCGGGAGGGAGGAACGGGGAACGCGCCTAAAGGATAAAGCGCCGCCTGAACAGGGGCTTGAACCCTGGACCCTCAGATTAAAAGTCTGATGCTCTCCCAACTGAGCTATCCAGGCTCACGTGGGGCTCCTGGGCGGTGTTCGCCACGGCCCGCGGAGGACCCCGGAAGGATGCGGACGCGTTCTCGCTCCGCAGATTCTTTTTGTCCCGCCACGGCCACCGTCCGCAGAGGGGCGGGGCTTGGTACCGCCCGGAAGCGCGCACCGCCCACGTGCGGCCATGGCGGCCCCGGCCAAGCGGCGCAGGGCGGCGGGGCCGGACCCCACGGCGGACTTCGTGGCGTGGTGCGAGGCGGCGGGCGTGGAGCTCAGCCCCAAGGTGAGCGTCGGCGGGGAGCGGGCCCGACCCCGGAGCGGGCGGAAGGCCGTGGGGCTGAGCGGGGCTGTCCCCGCAGGTGTCCATCAGCCGGCGGGGCACGGTGTCGGGCTACGGGCTGCTGGCCGCCGCCGACCTGGAGCCGGGAGAGCTGCTGTTCTCCGTGCCGCGCAGCGCGCTGCTGTCCCAGCACACGTGCGCCATCCGAGCCCTGCTGCACGACGGTGAGCGCCGCGCGGGGCCTCCCGGTGCTCCGCCTTACCGCGTCTTGTCCATAAGCGGGGCCGGGGGGCGGTACTGGCTCTTGGGTTCTCTGCTTTGTGCGTGAGTGGGGCTGCGGTAAAGCGCAGGGCACGGCCCTGCTGCCTGCACCGCGATGGGAAAGCTCCTCTCTCAGGGGACAGCGCGGCCCTCCCTTCCCAGGGCTCGCTTCAGTGCTTGGAGGAAGCCGTTCCGGTTTCACGCACGTGGGTGAAGTGCCAGCACGGGGCGGCAGCTCCTGGTCCTGCAGCAGCCAGGCCGGGGGGAAGCACAGAACGGAGTAAGAGACCTTGAAGGTCGTCTTATTTGCAGCCCTCCGCTGGGATTTTGCTCACTAGCAGTGAAAGCAGCCTATAAGCCAGGGTGTTTTCTCATTGCTCTGAGTCGCTGCTGCACACTTCAGTTCTGGGAAAATATATTTTTCAGAGCAAAAATGTCAGATCAACCTCAATTATTTATGTTTTCTTTGTTACCTCTGGTTGCGTAGCCCAGGAGTCCCTGCAGAGCCAGTCTGGGTGGGTGCCGCTCCTGCTGGCCCTGCTGCACGAATACACAACCAGCACCTCCCGCTGGCAGCCCTACTTCTCCCTCTGGCAGGACTTCAGCAGCTTGGATCACCCCATGTTCTGGTAAGGCGAAAGCCAGCAGCTCTGAAGTGGGCCCCATGCTGCAGCTGAAGGGATGTGGGGGTGCTGGGTGACTCCAGCTGCTCCAGCCCTGTGCGGCGCTAAATGAGGTTGCAACTCCCTGCAACAGAACACAGAGCTCCCCAGAGCACAAAGCTGCTGTTTTGAAGGAGTTCAGACCCTTCTTCCTCGGGGCAGATGGAGATAGAGCTGCTAGTTTTGTTTGCAACAGGCCAGAAGAAGAGCGAACGAAGCTCCTGCAGGGCACTGGCATCCCCGAGGCAGTGGACAAGGACCTGGCTAACATCCAGCTGGAGTACAGCTCCATCATCCTGCCCTTCATGAAGTCCCACCCCGACATCTTTGACCCTGAGCTGCACACGCTGGAGCTGTACAAGCAGCTGGTGGCTTTTGTGATGGCTTACAGGTGAGCGGGGAGGGTTTGCTCTGATGCAGGGGAAGAAAGATGAGCGAGGGGAGAAGAGGGTGGTGAGTGATGACAGGCTGTGTGATCTAAAAGAGTGCAAGAATCAGCTAAAGCTTGCCCCGTATTGCGAGGTATAAAACAGGATTGTCTTCATGTGCCTTGTCGTAGCTTTCAAGAGCCTTTAGAGGAGGAAGATGAAGATGAGAAGGGCCCCAATCCTCCCATGATGGTGCCCGTCGCTGATATTTTGAATCACGTGGCCAACCACAACGCCAGCCTGGAATACGCTCCGGTGAGCGCCCGGCCCTGCGCCCCTTCCCTGCATGACTGCCTCTCTGAGGCCAGGGCAGCGCTGCCACTGCCAGGGCAACAAGTGGGCCTGGATTCATTGTAAGCTGTTTTGTGTGACACACGCAGCTGCTGTTTGCTTTGTTACAGCCAGGAAGAATTTAGGATCAGGTGAACCTTCCTACAGATGCTCTTGCTGCAGGACAGGACCCGAGGCTTGCTTCTCCTGTTACTCACTGTTGTTGCACAGAGAATACCACACATTAGGCACATACCTGAATCACCTTCCTGGGGAAAACCAGCACCCTGCTCCGAGAAGCACCCCATTAAGGAACAGTAGGATTGCCACAGCTCTCAGAGCCTCTACTCTCTCTGCTTGCAGAGGTGTTTACGGATGGTTACAACACAACCCATCAGCAAAGGGCAGGAGATCTTCAACACCTACGGGCAGATGGCCAACTGGCAGCTCCTGCACATGTATGGCTTTGCAGAGCCATATCCAGGCAACACCAACGACACAGCTGACATCCAGATGGTGACCGTACGGAAGGCAGCGCTGCAGCGTGAGTGGCACCCTGGGAAAGGATGGGGCAGGGCTCGCTCCTGTTAAGCAGCGACGTAACAACACGGGGCTCAGGGTGAAGGGAAACGAGGCTCTTCCACGGCACTTCAGGTGCTGGGGCGATGCTACAGCTTTCTGCTTCCTGTTTCCCCTTCTGCCGTCACCGCTACTGCAAACCGAATTGGGCTTGTAGCTCTGCTGTCTTCAAAGCAGGTGCCAAAAGCGAAGCACAGCAGCAGCTGGTGGCTGAACAGTGGGACTTCTTGTGCCAGCTGGAGATGGTGGGGGAGGAAGGTGCCTTCGTGCTGGGCTGGGATGAAGTGCTGACAGAGGAGGAGCTGTCCACGACCCTGAAGGTGAGCGGTGTTGGGTGGTGACCAGCTGGTTCAAGAGCTGCACAAGAGAGGGCACAGGCTGTGCTGCAGCTGTTAGAACTGTGGCAGAACAGTGAGATGAAGGCAGACGAGCACATGAACTCTCAGCCTGTGACTGCCCTCTTCTCCTGGACTAACCTTCCCCTTCCTCCCCTCCATACTTAAGTTGTGGCTGTGTGCTCTTCCACATCCCTTGGCGTTAGCTATTCCTCTCTCACTGAGGCATAATTCCTCAGCTGGGGAATAACTCACCTGCCCCACAGACTGTGCTGCTCTAGGGAAGGAAGCTGAGGTGCTCGCACTTCCCCTGAGCTCCGTGGTTGGGTCATTGCAGGTGCTGTGCATGTCAGAAGAAGAGTTCAAGGAGTACAAGGAACAAGATGGCTGGGAGGAGGACAGTGAGGAAGAGGAAAGCTCGACCCTTTCTAATGCAGCTCTCTCCAGACTGAAAGCCCCTTGTAAGATGCTGCTTTATGACAGCGTGCTGCTGACCCTGCAGTCGTACAGGTCAGACCTGAGAGCAGAGCAGGACTTGCTCAGTAAAGAGGTTTATGAGAAACTGAGTCGAAGGGAGCAGCAAGCTCTGCACGTGCGCTACGGGCAGAAGAGGATCCTGCATCAGCTGCTAGAGCTGGTGCAATAAAAGCCTCACTGCCCCCAGAAATCAGCTGCCCAGAACTGTGCTCAGCCTTCAGCCTTCTCTTCTGCAGCAGCAAGGATGGGAGGCAAGATGGGCCCACTTGTCCCTCATACGGCTTCTGGCTTTTTAGCTACCTCTGCATAAAGAATGATTTTGCAGAGCACAAGAGCGTTCTTAGGTGCCCTGACAGTAAGAGGGCTGGAGCACAGCCACCCCTTTCATCGAGAGGACTTGGTGAAACCCAGGTCTTGTCATGGTTGCTTAGGGAAGGCTGACACACCACCAGCATAAGAAGTGGGTTCCCTCACTCAGCATCAGAGATTCGAAGCAATCACTGTGCCTCGTCCAGGTGAACAAGGCAGAATTCCAGCTGGTAGCTCTTACCTCACAGAAAGAGCAGAAGTGCTAAGAACTGAACAGCTCACCTAGACTTCAATACTGAGCATTCTGCAAGCAGGAGCCCATCAGCTTTCACAGAGGCTCAGAACAGCACAATGATTCCTCTCACCTCTGCAGAAGGCATTCTGTAGGTGCTGGAGACTCTGAGAGCAGCCACAGGTCTGCAGGTTGGGTTTCTGATACGTACCCTAACTCAGGCACCACTACTGTACATCACGTGTAGCCTTCCTTTTCCCTTGGCAGCTTTGTAAGACAACACGCTGGAGGTTTGCAGGCCAAGCTGTGTTAAATAAAGGTGGAGTTTCTTACCCAGCCACTGCTCTCTATTCAGCAGGATGCAACCCCCCCCCTCAAGATGATCTCTACATTAATTTTAGCTGCAGTGACAGCAAACAAGCAAAGGTTAGCTGCAGCCCTACCTGCACTGCTGGGGTCCAGAGTGCTTTAACATTACTGCACGTAATGGAGTAATGCAGCGGCTGTTCAGAGTCTGGTCTGCCATCCAGGCTTGGCTCTACAGCAGGCTACACTTCAAAGCAGGCACACAGCAGTGAATGGAAAGGTTATTCTTTCAGCCAGAGGGCATTACAAGCCAGGGCCCCTGCTGGCAAGGACACTGGAATCCCCACAGCTGGCACCAGCACACAGCACAGCGCCAGCTGGGGGTTCTTTCCCTCATCAGGAAGAAACAAGGTCACCTGTACCCTCCTGCCTGCCCATGAGCTTCATGTAACACAGGTTGGGATTCTGGCAGAGTCCCCTCTGCCTCTCACCCTCTTTTACACCAGCCTGACAGCTCCTAAGGCCTAAAGGGAACCAGATGTGTACAGCAGTATTAGTACAGAAGCACAGAGACCTTTGAGCTTTAGCAGAGCCAGCACTGGGAGCCAGTAGGACAAGTCAACAAGCTCACCTGCAGAGCTTGGCTTAAACAGCAGAAAAACCCTGTCAAATCTGCTCTGGATAAAGCTAGTTGCTGTTAGTTCTCTGTGTCCTAACCCACTGCAGGAGGGAAGAGCAAGCTGGAGTGTCAGCTGCATAGCCAAAATGTCACAACTTGCAGTGAATCCCTCTTCCTATCACTCCTATGTTGTAAGGCCAGAGGAGCTCACAGTGTTCATCCCTACAGGTTGAGCTAGGTAAACCAGCAGGTTTGCAGACACTCAGTGAAGGGAGTGTTGTATCAGGGAGCATGGCTAGGAATAAAGCTGGGCTGCTACCTGTGCTCTGCGTCCCTCCACCGCTGTCTCCTCTCTAGCACTCTGCTTGTCAACTTCCCACCTCCACGTAACCATCGCGCCCCTCCTTCTGGCACTAAGAACCAAGGCTTCATCTGTTCACAACAGGTCTTCCCTCTTCTCGCCAGGCAGCATCCAAAACGCACTGGAAAACTGCACATTTTTGGATGGCTGAAAACAGAATTTTGAAAGGCAGTGACTGGCCAGGTAGGATGGAGCTGGAGAGAATAAGCAGAGTGGCACGTGCTGCATGTCATGACTTTAATGTGTAACTACAGTATGCATACATACAAGAAGTGGGAGAACTAAAGCCCAAGAACTAGAAAGGCTACAAAATACAACACGTGGACCAATACTTTACAAAACATTCAAAATCCTTACAAAATGGGCTGTATTGGTCCTTTGTTTCTTTAATTTTCTGTTTCTTTTTGCTGTTTTGATTTTTTTTAATTTTTTTTTTTTTTTTTTTTAAACAAACTTATACTGTCGTAGGGTAGGGAAAGGTCTACGTTTAGTCCCCCCTTCTCCAAAATTTACAAGTGTCAGAAGAAAAAAAAAAAAAAAAAAGAAAAAGAAAAAGCTATAGGCCTGGTCTCTGGTTTCTTTACTAAAAACAGCTGACCCTCTCCCAAAGGGCCTGAGGTGTATCTTCTCCAACAGAAAGGAGGCGTTCTGACTGCCACACGGTTCTGTCAGCACTGGGAGGAAAGGGGAAAAATAACTCTGAAGCTCAACCCCCCCCCCTCACTCCATAGTATTCCCATATTCCAAACATAGCCACTTTTTTCTCTTCCCTCCCCCACCCCCCCTTGTAAAACAACTTTACTGATTTAAAGGTCCCCCATCCACATAAAGAAAAAAAAAATAAGTTACATAATAATATAACTGGCTTTTCAATATTCTTTGGGAGTCTGGCAATGTCAGGACAAGGAGGTCTGCCCCAGACAAGCACTTGGCATCAGCAGCTGCCCCTTTATTACAAGCTGGACAGGCACCAGTTACCCACTTGCCTTTTACACGCTTTGCACAAACCCAGAAGTCCAGACAAACGTTTCTGTTCCTTGTATTTACACTAGTTCAAAATGATATTCACAGCATCTTCTAGAGCATTTTGGCCAAAAGTCACAGATTTGTTTCAAACTTTGGAACGTGCCCAAGGATTTTGACGCCAGGTCGGTCGCGTGCTCCCAATCGAGGGAGCTGGGAAGGTCAGGAGGAGCCTTACAGATTCTTCTGTCGGTGGATGGGACAGGGGCCTCCAGGCCGGCACGTTTACAACAAGATGCAGCTCATCTAACTGGCACCAGTCCCCTCCATTACTTGCTGGGCTTGCTTCTGCCCCATGCAGCACTGTGCAACCGACTGGAACAACCTGGACGCAGAAGCACAGCAGCATCAGTCATCAACTCTGCTCTCCACCCAGAACCCAATGCACCACAGCTGCAAACACTCCCCAGTTGCAATGTGCTTTAGCAAATGTGTGGGCAAAGGAGCCAGGCTGTGATTGTCTGCAGTGCTACTGCATCATAAAACGCAGTGTGCTCAGCTCAGTCCCCATGAGAACACAGAAGAGCAGTGTTTAAACAGCATGTGCATTGTGTAGCAGGCTGCTCTGAGCCCTCTGTACTGCACTGTGCTCTCTTAAGAGGAAAGACTGAGGGAACTGGGCTTGTTTAGCTTGGAGAAGAGAAGGCTGCAGGGAGACCTCATGGTGGCCTTCCAGTATTTGAAGGGAGCCTATAAACAGGAGGGGGAAACTGCTGTTTGTGAGGGTGGGCAGTGATAGGACAGGGGGGAATGGTTTTGAAGTGAGACAGGGGAGTTTTAGGTTGGATGTTACGAGGAAGTTTTTCAGCCAGAGGGTGGTGAGGCACTGGAACAGGTTGCCCAAGGAGGCTGTGGATGCCCCATCCCTGCAGGCATTCAAGGCCAGGCTGGATGTGGCTCTGGGCAGCCTGGGCTGCTGGTTGGTGACCTGCACACAGCAGGGGGCTGAGTTTAGATGATCACTGCGCTCCTTTTCAGCCCAGGCCATTCTATGATTCTATGATACTGATGGCAGCTCTGTTTCCAGCTCCAATACTTTTTTCTTTTTTAAAAGATCTCCAGGATCTCCTCTGCAATGTAATATTTTGCTGTGGAACAAACTTCCACACACAGAGGACAGGAAAAAAAAATAATCAGCATCTCTCATAGCAGCTTGCTATGACTTCCAGCAACCACTCTACATTCTGCTCTCAGGTTGTTTTCCCTCCTCTTATGGCAGGAAATGCTGCTTCTACTGTGAAGCACCCACAGCTCAAGGTGCAACAAAGCACCAGCTTCTAATACATTCCTTTAGTGATTTCGTTACTAAGTTATACTCACTTCTCAATTTCTGGAGCGCAGTGAACAAATTCATGGTTCCAGAACTTAAATGCTGGGTTTTTTATCAGCTCGATGAAAGTGATGAGGAGACCCCAGGGATGAGGCCTATTTACAATCAGTCGTTCCAAGAGAACCCTGCAGTCCAAGAACAAAACAGTTAGAACAGAAAGGTCTGAAAGGACCTGAAAGGACACAAGGAGTGAAAGCAAGAAGCTGAACTCAGGCAAGTTAAATGCATTCCCTCTCACCTGGTGATCTGCTCCTGGATAGCTTCAGTGTTGGCCTCTGCAAACAGGTAAAGCATGGTGCAGCTGAAGTAGTGGGTATGACTGTTGGGGTATCGCAGCTGATTGGCAATTGCATTCAGGAAGAGGTACCGACCTGCAGGGGAGAAGTTGTGAGTACATATGGAGACCCCTGCTCCAAATGTGAGAGGGAAAGAGAAACAAATAGCATTGCCTAAAATTAACGTTCCTAAGCACATCCACACCCAGGTACAAGAAACAGAAACTGAAGATATGCAGAAGCCTCACCAGCTCTAGCTGATGGGGCAGTAATCACAATTCTCATTAAAGTGATTTCTCCTTCCCTCTGCTTTTAATACTGCTCTGTATTTAATGTAGCACTGCTTGCTGGAGTTCACTAGCAGCTGCATGGAACGATCTGCATTTCTCATAGCTCAGATCTCCTTTAAGGCAGGCGTGACAAATCATAGAATCATAGAATCACAAGGTTGGAAACGACCTGTAAGATCACCTAGTCCAACCACCTCATCACCACTGCCACCACCAGCACTAAACCACAGCACACAGCACATCATCCAGATGCCTCTTGAACTCTGCCAGGGACGGCGACTCCACCACCTCCCCGGGCAGCCATTGCAGTGCCTGACCACTCTCTGAGAGAAATGGTTCTTCCTTATGTCTAATCTAAACCTCCTCTGACACAACTTGCGGCCATTACCCCGTGTCCTGCCTGGGAGAAGAGGCCAAATCCCTCTTCACCACAACCTCCACCTTCAGGAGGTTGTACAATGCAATGAGGTCTCCCCTGGGCCCCCCTCGTGTCCCCCAGACCCCCCTCGTCTCCAGCTCACCTTCGGTGTCCAGATCCACTGCCAAATTCTGGAAGATGTCCATGTGTGCTGAGTGGGTAATGGTGCTCATGGAGGGCGTGCTGCCTTTGTTGTGGATGTGCGCAATGGCCTGAGTGCCCACGTAGAGCACCAGGGCATTAATCAGCTGGATGTTGTAGCGGTTGCCAGGTTCATTTGATACCTAATAGGGAAGATATAAAAAGCACTAACGTTCTATGTTCCTTCAGTAATTTAAGGGACAACATGTACAACAACAGCATCCTTGTTTATCTTGGTTTATACAGAAGGCAACATAATATCTTGCCTCAGCCCTGGAGGTACTCGGCTCCAGGCTGGATGGGGCTGTGGGCACCACAGAGATGTCCCAGCCACGACACCAGTTGCACCTGGATGGGCTTTAAGGTCCCTTCTGACCCAAGGCATTGTGGTCTCTACACAGCACTGGTGAAGTGCTGCCAGACAAGGTGTACAAGGTTCCTTGCTTGAAAGAAGAAAAAAGATCAGGTAAAGGCAATCTGAAGGCACCAGCTGTGCCACAAAACAGCCAGCACTCGTGTGAAGGCTTATCTGGAGCAATTCTCAGAGACTTCAGTCCTGAATCCTGCTGTAAGCTACACCATGTGATGTGTTCAACGAGTAGAGCTGGCTCACAGCTCAGAACTGGGCTTTGGGCTAATTACCCTCCCCTCCCTGCACACTTTTCCCCCAGAGCATTAGCATGCAGATCCACAGACTTCAAGAACTACCAACTATGAATTCACTTGCAGTCAAAGTTTAAATTCTAAAAAAAAAAAAAAAAAAAAAAAAAAACAAACAACCTGCAATCAAGTTAGATAAACTTGAACTGATACTCAAAATGCTGAATATCAGACAATGGCCTGGGCAAACAGGGCTGGAATCAGGTGATGGAAGCCACAGAACTCCTTTATCTGGTATGGGACAACAGTGAGTTTGAGACAGCCAGCCAGATAGCATGCTTTCTCAATGGTCTGCAACACTGCTCTAAAGGCATGCAAGCAGAAAAGGCCAAGGTTTAGATATCCTTACTTCTCACGCAAAGTATTTGTCAGCTCAGGTTGATAAGATCAACTGCTTTTAGATTAAATCAGCTCAGGGTTGCTAAAAAAAAAAAATAATCACAACCAACATTCCTGTTTCCACCTAAGTTCCTCCTTGATGGAAGTACTCAGTTCTTCTCCTGAGCCTGGGAGTTCAGTATTTGGAGAAGTGCATTTTCAGGGGCTTTTCTACTGCCAGGAAAGCACGCCTGCTACACACCACCATGATTCCTGCTAGGAAGGAAGGTGACTCAGCCAACAAGATGTGAGATTTGTCTCACAACACTTCTTGCATCCAGCATCCTCAGAAACCACTCACTTGTAAGTTGCTGCGCAAGTCAGACAAAAAAGTGACTGGAGAACGGGTTTTGAGATAGGAATCCAAGTCTTTCTTGAACTGAGGTGGCATCACGCCAGTGAAATTGGTGAGGATTCGTGGGGCGATGTTAATTTCACTCAACATGTCCACCTGATAAGAGAAAGCCCAGTCAGCTAAACCATAAGCAATTGGTAAAGGAACACATCACAGAAGCAGATCAGCATCAAAGCAGTGAGAGGAAGTTCGTGCAGCCGCAATCTTTCCATGACTGGAGACCAGTGTACACCCAAGCATCTAATTAGATCAACTCTTCTCAAAGTCTGTCCTCATTATGCAAGAGGCTGGCTTCAGAATGCTAATTTATCTCATTATTACGACAGGACAGTGTCTGTTTCTTATTAAGAAAAACAGCTCTGATTTAGTGCTCAGACATGCCAGCTCTCCGGCCGTTACACAGCCGAACTCGAGGCCTCACGCATCCTGCAGAGCACAGAATGTTGGTGCAGCTCAACACGTGCTGCACAAAATTCTAACAGCTGTCAGCTGAATTTTCAAGCAAAGCCACAAAGACTATTTCAGCAGCCTGTCAGTGAGCAGATAGTGCAGTGACAAAGATGCCCTTGCTCCG